CAGTCCGGAGGGGGTACGGGGTTCCCGGAACGCCGTACCCCGCATCCCCTGCCCAAAGAGATGGGGCGGTGGTACGGCGTTCGGGGAACGCCGTAGCCCCTCCGGGGTCCGCAGCCCAGAGGGGGTACGACGTTCCCGGAACGCCGTATCCCCGGCCCATCTTTGCCGGCAGAGGAAGCGGGGTACGGCGTTCCGGGAACGCCGTACACCCGCCCCATCTCTTTGGGGAGAGGGAGATGGGGCGGGGGTACGACGTTCCCGGAACGCCGTACCCCCTCCGGGCTGCGGACCCCGGAGGGGGTACGGCGTTCCCCGAACGCCGTACCACCGCCCCATCTCTTTGGGCAGGGGATGCGGGGGTACGGTGTTCCGGGAACGCCGTACCCCCTCCGTGCTGCGGACCTCGGAGGCGGTACGGCATTCCCGGAACGCCGCACCCCCGCTCCCTCTCCCCAACGAGATGGGGCGGGGGTACGGCGTTCCGAGAATGCCGTACCCCGTCCGGGTGCGAGTTGGGGCGGGGGTACGGCGTTCCGAGAATGCCGTACCCCGTCCGGGGCTCGCACCCGGACGGGGTACGGCGTTCCCGGAACGCCGTACCCCCGCTCCATCTCGTTGGGGAGAGGGAGCGGGGGTACGGCGTTCCGGGAACGTTCCTCCTCTGGCGTGCATACCCGGAGTAGGGGTACGGCGTTTCCGGAACGCCGAACCCCCGCTCCCTCTCGGCCGGGAGAGAGAGAGGGGGTTCGGGGTTATCAGAACGCCGTGCCCAACAGAAGGGGGTGAGCGTCCCCTTAAGCTTCGCATCTACGCACTCGGAGGGGGTGAGGCTTTTCGAAGCGTGATCCGATAGAGAAAGGTTTGATATCTGAATGCCTTGCCTTCTACTGTTCGGATTGTGCCAACTGTCAGGAGGAGCATCTAGCGTACCGGAAAAGAGGGTCTATAAGACCTCCTCGATGTATAGAGATAGGGAGTGGGCCCTTGATTAGGTGGGGGGCCTGCACGAGGCGGGATGTGGGGCCGCTGTGTTCCTGAAGAACGCCGCGGCCGACGACTGGTTCTGTCTTGGAGGGATCATAAAATCCGAGGATGAGAGGGCGGATGGGCACGGACGAAAGTTCAGGAGGTTCTTCCTCACGACAGTGTTTGACGAACACGGAGTGGACCACGCTAGGGTTGACCATAAAGTCAGCCTTGACTACAATTTATTCAAGGGGTATGGAGCTAAGGCGATTACCATGCGAGCGTTCGATGTATCCACGAAGAAAGACGGGAGCGCGTTGACGATGCTTGACCCCGTGAAATTCCTGGCCAAAACAAACGGGTACAGGTGATCCGGAAACAGTCCCATCGTACAGGCCGGGCATCGAATGTCTTCGACGCTCGTGCCTTTTGACACGCCGGACGAGGATCTCCCCGATATAGCGAAGAGAGTGAGACAGAGTTCGGCGGATTGTTTTCCAACACAACAGACCTCAGGTGGTGGGAGCCGGCGTCGAAAAAAACAGAGCCAGCCGCGTTGTCACACCGAGGAAGGGGCGCGAGGTCCTTCTGTCGAATCGGCCCGCTTGAAGGAATGTGCAGGACCATCTCGGCAGTCCGCCCAGCAACGCGGAGGCACCCCTGTCGTCACATCCTCAAGGAAGGGATTGGCGGGTCGTTGGGCTCCTGATTGCCAGGAGGGCGATGGAGGTGCGTCCACGAGGGCAGCCCTGCGGGAGAGGAGCGAGGGATCAGACGAAGAAACGGAGAACGATTCCAAGATTCATGTCGAGCGGAACGCGCAGGGTAATCTTGCCGTCGACGATGAGCAATGTGGGGTCCAAGAGGACAATGCCAACGAGGACATAAGCGAGCGAGAGAGAGAGGACGAGGAGCGTGAGGACTCTCTGCCCGACTGCGAGGACGGAGAGTCTCAACAGTTCGATGGGGGCGACTATGGGGACGGTGGGGAGAACGATGAAGACTGCCTTGCCGATGATGAGGATGGAGGGGAGGAAGGGTGCGATGATATGGAGGTCGATGAGGGAGCAGGAGATCGGTCGGAGGGCAGTGTGCAGAAAAGGAAGCAGCGATCTTCAACAAGTCCGACGGGGGCGGCGGCGGCCACTGATAGCGTGAAGAACAGAAAAGGGAAGGCGTCAACCAGAGCGACAAAAGCGGAGAAACGTCCGATGAAAAGAAAGCAGATGGTCGACGAGGGTGACTTCGGAGAAGACGCCAAAGGGGTTGCTCCTAGGGCTCCGTCCGAACAGACAGAGCGTTCCTCTGACAATCGATCTGTCACAGTGGACACAACAAAGTGCTTCTTCTTGGAGTTCGATGAAGATGGCTACGCGAGGAAGGATCGGGTACACATTCAAGTGGATGTAACGAAGATCTTGCCAATTCCGGAAGGTGACATCCTCTACAACCACATAACGTTGGACGAAACGTTGGTGCAATCCATATACGATGCGATCCATAATGTGGCCAAGGAAACCAACGGCAAGTGGGATTTCATGACTTTCATCCTGGCCCCCATTGTGCCCAGCCGGGACGGCTCTCAAGGCAGACGGATCACAC